AATGTCTCATCTTGAGTTAGCACTCCTAATAGTCAATTCAATAAATTGCCTATATGAATTCCTCACTTGCAAGATTTTAAACCTGAAAAAATGTATTGGACTTCACCTGCCTCTCCAGCTGATCTCTCTCTCTCCCTCTCTCTCGCGAAGGGATCTCCAATCTCACTTGGTGGACTACTATTGAATAAGAAAATAAGAGAGGAAAAGTTTGTCACCGACATGTACTGTATTTCCCAATTTGGAAAAAAAAACTCAAGACAAGCAAATGTGGTCCTGAACAAAGTAGAGAAGAAGGCAGCGAACTTATTAGGCTGGGAAAGCGGATTTTTTCTTTCTTTGGAGAGGGTCGCGTGCCAAGGACTGGATGGCATGCATGGCATGGCATGTGTTTTATTTTCTTTTATTTTATGTCACCCCCTGCGATAGAAAAACAATGCGAGATTCCTCCGGCATGCCTGTGCATGCAATTCAGCTTTATTGGAGATGCAACCGCTTCCCCTCCACCGGGTGCCCAACAAATTCTTCCCTGGGGGTCTCTATCAGGAACAAATCTATGCCTCTTTTCCAATATTTATCTCGATGAGAAAGATTCATTAGTCGAAGCACAGACCTGAATTCCAGTTCCGAAAGGTTTGCTCGATAGGAATTTTCCTTATAATCAAATAACGTAAGGCAAGCAGGTCTCCATTATTCAGTAGGCTGTTGATTAAGTACCTTTCAGCTAGTGATTCGTACTGATGAGCTGCAACGGAATCAGGAGTACTCACGACCAGGGGCAAGGGATCCGGTGGGGGGGGGGGGGGACTCATGGTTCCCCTTCGTGGCCCCCCACCCTCGCTTTTCCAAAATGATTCATTTCGTCTTCCCACCATCAAGTCGCAACTGTTCACAAATAGCTGCTTTAAGTGATAAGAAGAAAAATTTAGAATCAAAGAAGCTAGCGCGGTTTCACGAGAGAAATCACAACCTATCTTCTGATGATCCTGTTCGGGCGTGTTCCGCACGGATGGAAAGGTTGGTGGAAGAGTATATTTTATCTGGTAATGACATCTTGATATCGCTAATGGGATTGTCATCTTGAAATAGGGAGAGGCTCCCCAGAGATCATGAGATTAAAAGCGAAAAATGAAAGGCATCTGACTATTCTAGCCTCCAATAGGTCGTAAACTTTTCTTATTTGTTGCTAATTATTTATTGTAGAAATAGGCCTCGGTTCTGAACCTCCCCAATTACCCCTAAAGCAAGAATCGCACCTGTTGCGTTGCGTGTGTCACGACTGTTCGTCAGATAGACCTGAAGAATTATAGGCCTAATAATATTTTTAATATTAAGAATGTGACATTTTACAAAATATAAATTTATTTTCTCAACTTGGATTAGAATTGCAGAAGCGTGTACTCTATTTAGGAAGGTCTTTGATACCAGCCAATGTCTTCTGGTACCTAGAACCATTTTACACAATCTTTGCTTAACTTAATCGCCACTCGTTGAAGGAGTCGTGTGAATGTCCCGAATGATAACGTTTATAATCTTCCTGGTCAAAGTCCTGAGATCCTGGTAGTTTCAGGAATCAAACACTTCAGCTCGTGATTGCCTTGGTTCCATGAAAATGCATTTAGTTGTTAAAGTTTCACTGTAGAACCAGAAATGGTTCCAATCCGAACCTTCATTTTTTAGAATGCAGAAAGCACACGCTCATAGAGAAGTTCTGGGTGCTCCATTTTCTACCCAGACTTCGTCTTTGGCAAACAGAGAAGTAAAGTTTTACCTTTTTGGATATTGGGGAGGATACGTGGATGTTTCAACAGTTATCCGGGGGGAGTATGGGGGCTTCTTCGATGCAATTTAACGTAAACGTAGCTCGAGGGCCAGGCACGAATAGGTAAGCGTTTCGTTTAAAAAATGAATGGCAAATCTGCAAGGAATGTACTGAAGGTGAAAGCTGCGCCTGCAGAGGAGGACCGAATGGGATAATTGCAGTTCTATGCTCTCCCGCTCCGCGACTGCTTCCCCTTCTCGCGAGTGCCTCCTCGCCTTCTCTCATCTTGAAGGGATTTATGCCCTCTGAGAGTATATGGAATGGTGGAAGAAGCATTCCATCCCGTGATTTCCCATGTAATCGACTGCTACTCCAGAAACTGCACGAAAATCAACTTAGAGCGAATGAATTAGGTATTTCCTTGAAACTTTGCATCTAGCATGTTGTTAAGATGTATGGCGTTGTGCGCAAGCCATCAGGGGTGTACATTTTTATGCGGACTCGATCGTCTGGATCCGGTGGGAATGAAAACTTTTTTTTTTTTGGGGGGGGGGGGAGGGGGGGGAAGCGTTTGTAGGCGTCAAACACATATACGAGGTGTCGTTCTTAAAGTTTCGTTTAGAATGGGGAAGTCAGAACGGAAATTCTTAAAAAAAAAAAGAAATGAACGCTAATGTTGTGTGCGGGGGCCCTTGGATTCTGTTTCTCCCTTAGGTAAGGATTTGCACTCCTGCAGTTCGAAGAGTGTCCAATGTGAGTGAATCGCAGTTGAGCAATACTCCTACGTCGCAATTTCTGTTACTGAGCTTAAAGGAATCAATCTCTTGGCATCATTAAATTTTCGTTCTTTTTTTTGGCTCAAGCCATTGAAAGATTTTAGATTAGGTTCGGCGATGTCATTGTTGGACTCTGAAAATTCCCTCTTCTTCGATATAGACGAACTGAAAATTATATTCTGAATTTACGATCTGCTAGTGGAATTGGCACTCAGACCTCACGAGGTCATGCAAAGGGTTAACCTGCTCTCCTTTTATCGACTATCTTTGCTACCATGAAGAATTCTACAATATTGCACAGAAAAGGACAATAGGGTGTGGCGCCGAAACTTCACCAGGTTTAAGTGCGGCTGCCCTCGCGCGAAGAGAAAGAGAGAAAGAGAGAAAACATGAGCCGTGGGGAGCAATTTGGAGCAATGAAACCAATCTGATGTAATGAATGCGGAACATTAAACGGGGGTCATTCGCGCCCGTGGCCCCCGCAAGAGAACCTCTCGAAAACGAGTGTCATCTGGAGACTTTTCTTCTTTCATCACCCTGTAAGAGCGTGGTATATGCCGCGGCGACATGGGCCTCTATAGACCTACGACCGAATTGATGCAGGCCCTCGCATAATTGGTGGGGCAATAAATTCTTTATTCTTGTGTCGGCGGGATCCCTCTCCACCCGAACCACGAGATGCAATCCTCCTCGAAAAGGCTCGATCCATCTCTGTTCTCGAGCCTCCGAAGAATTCGCGAATGAATGGTCGGTGCCGTGCGGGAGAAATAAGCTGAAAAAGCACGAGTGGGAGGAGAGGGGATCAGGGAGATAAAGGGAGGAATGTCACCGAAAGTCACGCGGAGTTTGCTCAACAATCCCGGCAACGACGTGGAATTCCATCGCCTTGTTCCCTTCCATAAAAATTAAAATCCTTGCGTGGCGTCATGGCAACGAGGGCGGATTTATGTTAAGGAGGGGGCGTGGCCTGCATCGTCATTGGCGCGGCCTCGCTTTGTGTCGGTGAAATCAAAGGGAAGGGGGGAAGTGGGACTGGGACGGGGGGATCTGGCTTTTCTGGCGTGAGCCCCCAGCCCAGGGCGAGGTGGATAATAATCAGGGTTCTTGCGTGTGTGCTCTCTTGCCTTCGTGTACCACCCGTGTGCGAATTCTCATCAACATCATCTCGCGAATGAAGCACTTGGACCTCCTGCAGTTCACAGGTTTTATCTTCAAACAATTCCTCCTCATTCACTTCCAAGCGTGAAATCCTTAGCACTTGCACCTGATAGTTGACACTAATCTCCATTCGTAGCCTCGTGAAACCTCATAACGAGGTTCAAGGGTCAGAAACTCGAGAGGTCTCGTCGATGTCCAGTCACTGTCCATTCCTGTTTTCAGTTATCAGATAGCAACTTTCCTAACTTTTTTTTTTTTACCCTTCCGTAGTACAGGAAGGTAGTCAGCAGTCATTGATTTTGTTTGAGCAACCAAGCCTAATCCTCCTGGCCTGTTCTGGAATCTTTCACAGTCGTGTGGAAACCGCATCGTTCATAGGCACCTATTATTATATCCACTTAATTTCGCCATCCTGATGCAGCATAGCTGCTTTCTTTTTTTCATCGTGTGAGTGCGGGGGCTCTTCAGTTCACTCGTTTCGACACATTTCATGTAAGGAAGAACCTACGACCAGAGGTTCAGGACTTCAGGACCGATATTGTTCCCTTGAACATTCTTGATGTGCTCGTCTCGAGCGAAGATTGCTGTTATTGCAGGGCTCACTGGCATTTTCGTCGTGCAAAGGCCGATAAGAATTACCATAAAAGTTTATTATTATTGTTGTTGCTGTGCGACAGTGTCCCTTCGACCTTGGTAAGGGAACGATTTAATGTTGCAGACGGGCAGAATTAGATGAGGAAGAGTAGTATTCTTGTAAAACGTGATATTCTTTGTGGTGAAAACCTGCTTGCTTCGCTCGATTTCTTCATCTGGAAACCCCCCTCTTTCCCCTCCGTTATTGATTATTCAATCCGACGATGACTCCATATTACACAACGTGGAAGCTCTTGATGGAGTCCAGTTTTCAATCGTGTCCGGTTTCCTGTCACCTCAGTATCGTATAGAATGGGGGAAATGACCGGGCACTACATGGAATGAGCTGGAGAAGGTGCACGGAGGAAGGCTATAGGCAACGTCATTCGCGGACTCAGACTGTACGAACCGAAAAAGGCCTTTGAATGAATGTGATCTAAGGCGCAGAATCGGGGTATCGCACACGCGTCCTCACGATGCAAGCACGAGGTGGCTCTTTGGCTCGAGGGCGAATGAAGAAGAAAAAGCCGGTGAACCAGAGGAAACCTCACGAGCCAACGACATCCGACTCACAGTTAAATATATTCAGTCAGGTGTATTGCTGGATCGATAAATAAAATTCCGTCGGCTGATAAGACTCTTTGATCAGGTGAATATAACAAGCATACGATGAGATGGGAGTTGAACGGCTTATCTTCGAGGAGCCGCGAATGGATTGGATGAGGCAGAAGTTGGACTCGCCGGGTCTAGAGCGGCGAGTGCCTTCTCACCCCTCTTCCCTCGACTGTTTAGCCCACGATTCCTCATCTGTCAAGGGCAGAGGTTCTCAATCTGAGGTCCTCGGACCACCGAACACAGGGATCTTCTATGGGAGTAAAAGGGAGTCTGAGAACTACTGGTCTAGGGTAAATGCTCCAAGACTACAGGAATCTCTGATTTTGAATTCAATGACTGAATAGAATAATTGGACCGTGAGCCTTAGCGTGACTTCAGTTGGTATCTATAACTTGCGTTGAAAATTGGCACAAGTTTCAATCTGCTTGTCGGCGGATGATTGAACTTAGTTCGTTCAGCTGTGCTACTTTTCATCCTTCCCATGTAGATTCGAACATCTGAAAGGCATTCATGTTGAAACTTAGATCCTTGCTTCTGAGCATAGGACAAAAAAAATTTAAAGAACCCCCGAACTCCGCGAAACTTGGTTTGCATGGGCGACAGAGCCAATTAAGATTGAAATGGTGAAAACAAGCTCAGTAGGTATGAGGAAGAAAATGCTAATGGATTGGTGATGCACGAATGAAGACGGGAGAATAGAAGTTCTTGTCCTCTGCATTGCGATGAAATAGTCCCGAAGTAACTCCATGTAACTGCGAGCATGATACGGTCTTGATAGCCGCAACAGAGAGGAGTCTCTTGTGGACGATGCCAGATGGCGAAGACTGACGATGGTCGATTTATGTTTTCCAGGAGATGCGAGGTGAGGTCATGTCAGGTGTTCACATCATCCCCTTGGTCGAGAAGGAGATGAAGGATGAAAAAGATGCGGGGGATTTCTCCTCATCGTGTGCCCCAAAGCTTCGTCTCGAGGAACAAAATCTCTGGAAGAAATTTCATACTCTCACCAACGAAATGATCGTCACCAAGAACGGACGGTGCGTGGGTCTCATCTCCATGGAGTTTCATGAATTTTTATTTCCCCCGGTATTGATACATGAGGTTTCGTATCCGTCCATGCATACAGGCGAATGTTTCCTGTGGTGAAGGTGTCAATATCGGGACTGGATCCTTCCGCCATGTACTCCGTGTTACTTGAATTCGTTCAAGTGGACCAGCACAGGTAGGCATGATTGCTGATATGCCTTTTTCGTTCATTGTCCATAATAATAATCAAGGAACTTCCTGCAATATTCATGCTAGACAATCTCACGAATTGTAGTTGTAAATAGGCACGTTTTATTCATGGGGGATCTGGGAGAAAACTCGACTTCTCTCACTTAAGTATAATTGCACTGTCGTATATATTAAACCGGCTAAGCCCCTTTTCTCCTTTTGGGACGCAATGGACTTTCACAGCCAGTTCGGCTGTGACTAGAAACTCAGAAGAGAAGCTTCAGGAAAAGAAGAGAAGCTTGGGCGTGGGAAACACCGCTAAACCTAATTGAATCGGTTGGTTGGGTGATAATCAATTGGCGGACGAGGGGGCCATAAGCCCAAATTATGAGGAGCTTCCTGTCCGGAGCCTATTAGCACCTCCATGTGATAAGAGCATAGAGGCTGCCGCACACGATCTGATTTTGCGTTGGAGAAGAAATACTGAACGGGACATGAGATGCACCTCCCACGCGTGGGAGATAAGAAACCTCCGTTTTTTCCTCCTGTCGGACAACAATCGGGTCGTAAAAAAATTTTGGATTCCTCTGAAAGACACCTTTAGACCTAGGCTAATTTAAGTTCATGCACAATTCTTTGATTCCCGTGCGAATGCAGTTCGTATACCAAGAAAGCGAGGCTTTCGAGAAAGATACATAGACAGTCCCGAAATTAACGCATTGCGTGTTGTCCTCATCCGCCGGTTCCACTTCTGGTTGAAAGTTCTGAATATAACCCTGTGCCTTCCGCTTATCTTAAACCATCACCGATAAAGATCTATGACTGTCGTGCCTCCTTTTTGAGATGAACAAGAATTAGAGAGACCCTTCAAAAAAGCTTCGCCTCTTCTTTGTTATCCGCATGACCGCAGGTCGCCATGATGATGAGCGATGTCGGTGATGGTTGGGAGTTGCGGAGAATAAAAATCAATATCTTCGTCTAATGTGAACGCCATTGTGGCAATAAAACAAATTGCCAGAAGTGGAAGAATTATATATTTTTTTCACCATGAGCTTATTTTGACCAAGGCCTTGCTTCGAGAAAGAGACTCGTTCACCCTGTTCTATACATATAAGTACTATAGGCGTGAGACGCGTAATAAAGGTGAAAGGGATGAATGCAGGTGGAAATACGTGAATGGAGAATGGGTGCCAGGAGGGAAACCGGAGCCCCCGCCGCCCTGTGGCCTATATCTTCACCCCGAGAGCCCCAATTTCGGTGCCCATTGGATGAAAGAACCCGTCTCCTTCGCCAAAGTCAAGCTCACCAACAAAACCAATGGGGTCGGACAGGTAAGCCCACTTTATCCTTTTCGAGGTATAGCGACAGGGAAGGTGTACCTGCACGAATTTCTAACCAGAGCAAGATGGAGTTGACATTACATTCGGAATGGGAACAGTCTACTTTAGAGGCGTGGGAACTGCTCCCATGTTTGTCAATAGTGCCTTTCTTTCCTGCCGTACAGGTACCTCTACTGCCTAGTATGCATTAGAAAGAGTTCGTGACTGAGTTTCCTTCCCGAGTCTCACGATTCGCTCCTTTTTCATTATTCCCCTCGGCTTTCTTCTCTCGAACCCTTCGCCGCTTTGCTCAGCCGGCGTTAACATATTTCAGCTTGTTACATGGCACCTATTCCATTCCGCGATTTCGTAGAATGGAAAATGAAATTTCGTCGAGATCGACTGCAGCTTAGGACTTGATCCATATCAGAGATGAAGAGGCTGGGTAGTCGTGAAATCCCTGTCCGAAATGAGAACGGTATTATGGAAAGGGAAAGGAGGAAACGGGGATAAAGAAAAGGAAGGAGTGGGACGGGATCAGGCGGCATTCATATAGGCTACACAGGGGAAGAGGAAGGAGATGGCAATTGACCTTCTAATTCCAATAGAATGTTTCCTGGGGAAAGTCAACGAGAAACCCCTTTGATCCCAGACCGCCTTTTTATGACAGGAAATCAGAACTCGAAGTCCCCCTTTCCAGTCCTCTCTCCCTTTATGGTCCAGTCCCCGGGCCGGGGCCTCCATCCACCTGATTTCCATTCAGATCTAAGAGACCAATATTGAAATTGACAACCACCTGCAGTCGATCTCGCATGCCATATGATTAGCGAATCAAGAGGTCCAGTACTAAGCAATATTGGGTGATGGACGACAAGCAGGTATAATAGGCAAGCACAAAGAGGCAGAGACACAAGGAACGGGATCATTTTAATTCGTTCTTTTTTTTCCAGTTTTTCATTTTTAAAATCAATTTTCGCACTTCACGACAGTATTTGGGGAGATGTCCGTGATTGTGAATCTCCTTGTGTCTGTCCGAATATGATTTAGAGTGATCTAGAAGAAAAACTTATGGATTGATGTAAGCAAAGGAGGAGTTGAAAGAACTCGTCTCGACGCAATATACCATTCGGAAAATTCCTCCCAAGTATTCAAAACATCCTGACTAAGAACAAGAAGTTGGCTGCATTTCGAAAAATGAAGCACAAAGGTCTCGAAGGCCCCAAGGCATCGCAGCATCGCACCTTTTCAGAGTCTCACGTACGGTACTGAAACTACGAAGAAGTACTTATCATAAAGAATACAGGCAGAGCAAGAACATAACTACCGTCATGTATATGTATTTATTTCCTTGCTATTTTTAGGACCGTCCTATTTCAGACATATTCATGAATACGCGACCAAATTACCCCGACACTTTTTTTTAATGAAAAGTATCACCATCAAGTAAAGTTTGCTTGTCAATAACATGCGAATTCGGCAGATATTTTCCCTTTTCTTTCTGGTGATTGCACTTGAAAAGTAAGCAGTGCCTCGCGTAAAGGTTCTTTAGAAACAACATTCAACGAATTCACCAGCAGATGATTCACATAAGTGCAGGCGATTCTCAAGTTTCGGAATCTTGTTTCCTTGCTTTTGGGGGAGAGATCCCGCACAGTTCTTACTCTGACTTGCACTGAAGAGTTTTGAATGCTTAGTTTTCGCCACATTCTGACGTCGTCATATTTCTATGCTTCTGGCAATCATATTTCTCAACACTGTGCAGATAATGAATGAAAATGAGTAGCCTTGAGATTTATAAGATAGCACTGCCTATCTCTTCTTAGGAAAGCATTGATTACTTGAACTTTATAGTGTTTTCAATTGTAACGGCAGAAATTACATTAGGTTAAACATTTGGGATCGAAAGGAGGCTTTGCTTTTTCAAGCGCTCACGGAGAGTGAGAAGGGAAATGAAACTTGATCGAGTCCCGATCAGTTCATCGCTCTATGGAGGTTCCAACAATACTGCTCTGTACTTTTTAATGCTTCCTTGCATCCTATGTCGCCTTAATTAATTTTTCCCTCTCGATGCGATCCTTTACCTGAAGGATATCTTTACACACATCAAAGCTCAATCCCAGACAAGGATATTATTACCTTTGGATACGGAATGAGAGCATTCTTGGACTCAGTACTCGGGGTGCAGTCTGAAAGATAAACGTTGGAGGTCGGATAGAGAGGAACGGAAGAGTCGTATTTCTTCTTTAAAAAGATTTTTAGGATCGGAGTAAATAATGGTCTTTGGCATCACGAGTTGTATGGAAGACTGATCGAGGGCAGAGGGAAACAACTATCTCGTTGCTTCTTCTAGTGAGATGGGGCCCGAGGCGAGCCAAACAGCCAGGAGACCGGAAGTGTCCGTTTATCAAAGACCAGGGCCAGTCGCCCCCTGGTCAAACGAGGCCGATCGGAAGACTGGTTGAGAAGGGGGAAAAAGAAGGGGGGGGGGGGGGAAGTAACAAATGGATCCATTTCCTCTTTCCCTTCCAACTGCCCTTCTGATCTGATAAGCAAGAAAAAAACAAGAACCGGAGAATAGGTACCAGGGGATGTGTATGAACTTCAAGAAACTCGAGATTTTGTCGCCGGTCAGCCATATAAGTCGGTATCTATACCTTATGCTCCAACTTTTGAGAAAAGGACCTTGGGAGTTCCTTAGTTTCTTTGGTCTTAGGATTCAGTTCCTTAAGTCTCCTTTCTGAATGGAAATACCAGATCAGGGCATCAAAATGGAGAGAGGCACTGACTTTTGCGGGAAGGAAGATGGGAGATTTCCACGACAGCTTGTGAGCGCGGCCAAGACAAAAAGAGGTACTATTTTACTGTGGACCATTGTACCCCCACCGACTTCGATGAGTGGCATGTAATTCGAAAGCCCCTTTGAAGCTGAACAGAAGAGCCTATAGGGAAAATCAATGTTTTTCAATTTATGCGGAGAAAATTATCTCTAAGAACGAAACTTTTCCACGTTTTTTTTCCTCAAGTTTTTAGCGAAAAGAAACACAATTTTGTGTTGCCCTCTCCCCATCATACGGGGGTAAACCCAAAGGAAGTATAAAAGTAAGACAAAAAGTGTAAAAAGCTGAAAACAAAACTATGTGCTTGTGCTACCAGATAGTCAGGAGGGTTGAACATTTCATCGGACTATAGTCAAGGTCTATACGGTGATTTAATCTCGGATGTTTACCTATGGTGGTGCTCCAGTAGCCCTAACATGTGCCAAAGGGGCCTGGATATTAATTTCTGCCGCTGGAATCACCATTCCAGCTGGATTCACGATTTTCCTTTTTTGACATTGTCATGAGAAGGAAGGAGCTACCCTGTCACGGAACTCAAGTTCTATGCCTGTTGCCACCATTCTGCATCGTAGAGGCCTCCTTCGTGGTGGAGATCTCATTCTACTCGACTAGACCTTTCTAACGATATCAAAAACGTTTTGGCCACATTATCCGTTAATTGGTAATTACTGTCTTGCATCATCTGGAACTTATAACTCGGTAATGGATTGAGATAGACTGTAAGTATTTTGACACAGCAATTTGAGATCTATCCCATTGCATCAATATCAAATGGATCCAAAAATAATACCCCCCATTCACATTTGCGATTCGTAAACGCTTTTGGGTCAATGTAATTTCATCATTATCAGATGCTTATACTTCTTTGAAGAAGAGTTACGCAAGTCAAGTCAGCGCGAGCGATGCAGTATACTGCCAGGTGTATTGAGGACAACGGCAGTGGCGGCAGACATACATGGTACCGTAAGTGTCCCCTTTGTTCTCCTTGAAAGAAGGGGCACTTAAAAGGGTGCTGTACGAGTACGAGGAAGATCATTACCGTGGGGGCCGGAAGGCCACGAAGTGCCTGGAATTTCCGAAGTCCATAGACGACACAGCACCCCACAACTCATTAATTGTGCTAATTGTGTTCCGGCCGTTCTTGGAAGTTCTGTCCCGCCTATATCGGTTATGATTCGGGTCTTAAATATTTTTCCTTGTCCTTATTGACAGAGGTTCGGTATGCATGCGCTTACAGTGTGACACTTCCTGAGGCAATAGGCGGCAGTTGCAATTTGTAGTAATAAAATATCAGCAGCATATTTTAAGATCTGTTTCTTCTTTTTCGTTTTCGTTGCAGATAGTTCTGAATTCCCTTCACAAGTACGAACCCCGGGTGCATATAGTGCAGGTGGGAAGTGGGGATCAACGTTACGTCTCGACCCATGCTCTACCCGAGACCCAGTTCATCGCCGTGACTGCCTACCAAAACGAAGAGGTGAGAACGTAGTTTTCTCCAGCCATTATTGAGGTATTCCTGAATTGCTTGACGGACCTCACTTTCTCGAAAGATTCTCGAGCAGGGCAGGGTATCGTAACGCTAACGTAACAAAATGATGTATATAAACAATTATTTTCATCAAATTCACGAGTAGCGTTACTGAGAGCGAAAAATAACAAATTAACACGAATACATTTTCCTGTAATGCTGTTTTCCTTCTGTCGTTTTTCGGTATTTTTTGGTGTATGTAACGTTATTCGAAAAGTTACATCGATATATTTTTACGGAATGTCATTTCGTCGTGTTTATCTTATTAACCAGCCCTGCTCTCGAGAAATGAAAGGATGTGATACGATGCTTGAAAGTACCAGGACGATTAAGTCATGGCATGGGTGAATCATCGCCCAGGCAGTATCGACGATGACAGCGATGATGGTTGTTGCAGGTGACGGCGTTGAAGATCAAACACAATCCGTTCGCGAAAGCCTTCTTGGATTCGAAGGAGAGAAGTGAGCCCTCGTCTTCATCCCGTGTCGAACTAGTCGCCCCCTTCCCACCTCAATCGTCATGTGAGTTTTATATTCGTTTCGGGTCGGGCTTTTCGGTCAGGTTTTTTTTTCCTTTTAATACCACAGCATACTTTTGGCAGATTGCCGTTAATTTCAGGGGCCCGATTGAAAAGTTCGTGGGAACGGCGTTCCCACGAACTTTCTCCGCTGCTCACAAACTTTTCCCTCTAAATCAGGGATCGGGAACCTATGGCTCATGAGCCAAATTTGGCTCACGAGCAGAAAAGTTTGGCTCATTGAGTCACGGCTGAAAATCATGGTTGTTCCTCATTTTTCTCCTGTGTGAAAGAATGTATATGTCTGTTGCCAACTTCAGGAAAAATTATGTTGTTCTGAAAATCGTTCGCTCACAAGCACTTAGCTCTATCTTAATATGGCTCACATGGCCAAAAAGGTTCCCGACCCCTGCCTAAATCTACTCACTTGATCTCAGACAGGTAATACTCTTCTTAATTAATATTGACTTATAATTTTTGCTCAGACAACTGCTCTAATGATTCCCTTTATTTATTATTACATGGTAAAACAAAGAGATGTATGGATTCCGGACCGCCTCCTAAATCTTGCTCAGTTGATCTTCAGTTCGTTTAAAGACAACTGACTTGGAATTTGAAATTCGATGTAATTCCACGGGATCTGAAAACGTCAGAGGAATCTCGGGCTTCCTGCGGCAAATTAATATTCCCAGGAATTAGTTGTAGGCATTTCCATCAGTTCTTTGTACAAGACTATAGTTGCACAATATGGAGACTCTTGGATGTGATGGACTTGCGATGTGTTTGCAGACAGTCCATGGTTCCTGCCGAATTGCAGTGCGATGGGATCGGGGATGGGCTGCGACCGGTTCATGAAATCCATCCGACATGCACCCTATCCTCCAAGGAGACCCCAGGAAGGTAAGAAATATGCATTCAAATGACGTCATTCTCCTTTCTTCACCCTCCCTCGTCGTCGTACTATCCAAGGTCATCATTTCCACAAGGACATCATCTCTCCCCACACCCCCCCTCTTTCCCTTTCCTCTACAATCTTCATCGACGCAATTCCCAGCGCAGACCTGAAGGCGAATCACACAGGTTGATACGTTAGTTTGAAAGCAGAAACTCCCTGGAGCGTGTCACTAGGAACTTCTAAAAAAAAAATAGTTTATTCACCCATATTAACCCTTTTCTGTTGATATTCCTCTCATGATCCGCTTCATGCAGTGCCGTCCAACTTGATTTATCTTCTTGGAATAGCGTTCATTCAGCACACTTGGAAACCCCTGAGTGCATCAACAAAATTCAGATCAATATGTTTTCTGTACCGTTCCCTAATCTTTTTCGCTCGGTGATCGGGGCAGCACCATCATGTCTTAACAAATATTCCATGCGTATTAAGAAAAAAATGGTGTGACTTGGCAATGTGAGAAAAAGCTATAAAAAAAAACAAAACCGAAGCATTTCTATGGAATTGTTGCGTTGCTGCACCCAAAGTCGAAGTTCCAAATGCTGAAACCTTCTTTAGTTGACGTCCCTTTATAAATCCATGGAATCCTAGGAAGAAATAGAGCTCTTTAGCGTAAAGGCATTATCTTGCCTAAATGAGGCCCCAGCCTTTGGGTCATTTAAATGAAATTAGAGTACAGGTAGGGATGGGAGAAGGTGGCGTCGAGGGGGAAGGGGGAGGGGAGTTGAGAAACATCATTAGAAGTAATTTGACACGTGCCGATCATGTGTGGGATCCGCTACATCAACTCCCAACCCAACCGCTGCACAAGCATGAGATTCGCCTTTTTCACAGGGTTAAGCCTGAAGGCAACCTTGTAGTAGGGGTATAATGGAAGGGATTCGTTCTAGACGTTATCCCGGCATCTCGAGAGAAGCACAATCGTACGTGCATGTGTATGTACCTGCATGTACGAGTCCAGGCCCTTGTTTTATTTCCTCTCCAAGGCCATATCGGCTTCCCTTCTTTCTTTCGTCGTTTTTTCTATTTCTCTCTTTCCCTCTCTCTCCCTGGTTCCCTCCTCTCGAACTGTAACCATGTATAGCCATGCTCAACGCCCCGTGTACAACTGCGCTCTAAAGAATCCCGCCATGGCCGATGGGAGAAATATTTTTCTTATCCAATGGGTTCTGCATACAAGGCGTATATCGTCATAAATGAGGAAGTGTAAAGGTTTGCTTATCTATATCGAGGGAATGAGGTTTTATAGCCTCCCCAGCTGGAACCAGCTGCTCGTGCCTCGAGTCTCAGTCATCCAAATGGAACAATTTAAACGGAAAAAACAGGCCGAAGCACCACATGACACGATTGGTTCCCTAGAAGCTCCAGGGCATTTCTGCTGAAGTAGGGAGACCAAAGGGAAAGAAAGGAAGCAAAGAAGAATGGAATATGTGGGAAAGGGGAAGAGAGAGAGGAGGGTAGAGAGGAAGTGATCTCGTCATGGAGAGGCGTATGTCAACAAAAGAAAAAGCAAGCTTATTCTCGAACTCTTGCTACTTTTAGCGCCTTCTTGTCGAAGCGTGGAATTGCCAAAGACATCTCTCTCCTACTGTTCAACACCTCTCTGACTTCTGTTCCAGTCCTCATCATGCATTCTTGCCAAGAATACCCAGAGTCCTTGTACCTTTTATTTCTTCCCCGTCAGGTTACTTAGGCCCTGGGACGGAGGATGGAGGAAATGCAGGAATGGATGCGTGCAAGTTTTCTTCCCCGCCTCCAGCCCCTCCACCGACAATGAATCCCCTGCTGGAAACACCTTGGTCCACATGGCCCTCCTTCCCCACTCCCACACCCTATCAATGGTCGAGTGCCTTAGACCCGCTGCAATCAGGCCAGCCGTCATCATTCGGCCCGACGGCCTCTAGTCCATGCCCTCCCCCCAAGACCCATACCCCGCCGTTTTTCCAATCGTCGGAGTCCTCGGAATTCGGCATCATGAACCAGGAATTTCATTATGCGTTGGGGGAGAGCGGGACGGAGTTTACGGGGGAGAATGGGCCAGGCGGAGCAAGTTTTCACCCGACGCCGCCCGGCGAAGGAACTCGAGGGAACACAGAAGGAGAAAGTTTCGACAGTTCCTCACCGCACGAAAACTGGAGCCCCATCACCCCTCCACCATACACCATCTCCTGAACAAATCCTTCCTTCCTATCTTACCTTCTTATTTCCCCAGTATTTAGGTCGAATGACAAGGTGAATGATGAACGTCCATTCACGTCATCGTGGGTGTTGATTCTTGCAATGTGTCGAGGCATTCCTTGCTGTGATCCAAGCCTCCATTCGTGCCAAACCCTCTCCCCCCCATGGCCCATTTCCCGATTGCCTATTCGACAATAGAGTATTCGGGAGAACTCGCTGCAGCTCGTCTTCTATGGTTGTGAAGCCTTTTTCGAAATTCCATTCCGTCGTGTGTCTTTCATTACCCTAACTGACTTATATTCTATGTAAAGTGACTGCAATGCACTCCAGGTACCCTCCAAGGTTACAATAAACTTCATTGTGCCTACTCTCTGCTATTGCTTGTGGAGTTTTTATTTTTCATCGAAAGAACGCCATTCCGTAGAACCGGGGTGGGGTAGATTCCGGGGGTGTCAAACTGGCGGCCCGCGGGCCAGTCCATTTCGTTCGGCCCTCGAAGTCCTCTTCAACAGTCGGTTATGGAAAAGTACTGCAAATTTCAGTCTGTCTGCATAAAAGATTAGGAATAAGGCTTTTATTATGGCCCCAAATCACCCCTGAAGGCTTCCATCCGGCCCCCCGCCTTATCGAATTTGACACCCCTGCCCTAGAAGCACAGAATGTTGGACCGATAGTGACCTAACATTGGGCCAACGTTGCAATATTGGGCTAATATTGGCCCAATGCAGTATGCTACTGGAGTTGATCTTGAGGCCCACGGCAGTCTTAAGGCCGTTTCACACATAGTGTGTCATGCGTGCTATCCGTCAATGCTTGAGCAGGTAGGCAGACGCACGCATGCCGACTTACATCCAAGGGATTTCACAAAACGCAAGTCTTGCTTGCAGAATTAGGGAGGAGTTCAAATCGGGACGTCTGCCTGCATGTATTAGAGAGGGAAAATAAGTTTTAGGAGAGGAAGTACGCTTGGTGCGTCGAAAGGCTGACATATCTGTATGACAAGGCGCACTCGCGGTTCTATCAGCACCCGTGAAGACGCAGGTACGAACGCACAACATGCAAACATGGAATGTGTGAGTTTGAGGTCTTGATGCATGCATCGCTATATCGTACGCGTCACACGCACGAGACGCAAGGTGTGAAATGGCCTTTAGGAATTGATGTACGTGGGGCTTTGACAAGGATCGCTGGTACAATAACAAAGATGTATCGCGATATTCCGCGATAGAAAATCAAGGTGAGGGAAGAACAGAGTAAACTTCCCCGAGTAGAGGAAAGGAGCAAGGAGTTTAATTAAAATTACTCTAAATTACTCTTATGGTATACATTGCCTCCCTGAGAAAATAGAAAATATTGCTGCAACCATGAGGAAATGAAGTTCGGACCAACAGATCATGAGATAACGTGTCAGAACAGATCATATGTAGCTGGCATAAGCGGAGGAGGGGAACGGATAAATTGCTTTCAAATCAGCTGATGTGACATTTGCGTTTTGAATCGTAGGCTAGACTTCTCCAAATCTTTTGCAAGTGGAGATGGGTTCATGAGATTATATGTTTCAAATAAACAAAGACTGAGATCGATGGGCGACTTGAAATGATTTCAAAGAATGTATTGCTTTTGAATACCTGATGTGAATGTTCAAAAGCTTCTGCATTGAAAATATTCAAAGAACTGAAAATGGGACGATTGTTCAAGTCTGAGATCTTGGTTCAAAAGTAATAGGTTCACAGGACAATGTAATGCAGGGGTGCACAACTCAAAAGGCTGCGAGGGCCATTTGCGATTTTACTCACCTACTGCGGGCCGCAGTCTGGCTGATCGTAGCTGTGGCCAACAGGGCAGGAGCCATTGCAGCACTTACAACGCCACCAGTCATGGCGGGTCATGAGCAAGGGCCTCGCGGGCCGTATGTTGTGCACCCTTGATGTAATGTAATGTCAATGTTTTGACACAGGTGAATATGGAAAGTACTATGGAGGTATTATGACCACCTAAGGCTTTTGGCATTCAATACTGATTACGTTGCCTTGGTAGGCACAGAATCGATTTGGTTTCCAATGGTAAAGCAGAGGGTCGTGCCATCAACAAAGTCAGTCAAAAGTTCAGTCTACAGAGGAAATATGAGACATACAGTTTGTAGCATACAAGAGGAACAAGAACCACTATAGTCTCTTCGTTGCACTCGTGTTGATATAATATGCTGGGAAGAGAAAGTTCATCCACACTGACTCGTCTATAGGAGAAGAAACATACAGTTCGGTAATGCAGGGTGTTTCACAAAAACGTTTACCATTTCAGTTGGCTGTGAATCCATTAATATTATGAATATTCTCTTCAAACAAACACTAAATGACAGAAGAACTCCTCAATTTTCTTTTTCTAACAGATAATCTACCATGGCTGTGCAGTTTACGGATGAACAGCGAATTTACGTTGTTGAACGCTTTTTGGAAACCAAATCACCAAAAGCTATCCAACGTACATTTCATAGAGGGTTTCCAGGAAAAAACACCGCTTATCTCTATCATTCCACATCTGTTTCAACTGGAGTTTGTATGGGAGTAATTTCAGGTCGTTTTTCAGGATTCGCCACACTGATGTTGAAGATAAATGTCTTTCTGCAGAAAGATGAACTGATTTCTTCGGACTCCTCATTATTGCGTTTCTCACATCTTCAACAGCAATGTCTGTTCTAGCTGTTCGCTTTCTCCCACTATTTTCAGGACTTTGATTCTTTATTGTCCCGATGTCGTGAAATTTCTTAACTAATTTGGTGATAGTGGGTTTTGAGGGTGGTTTTTTTGCCTGAAAACCTTCTCTGAAATGAACGTTGGGTAACTTTTGGTGATTTGGTTTCCAAAAAGCGTTCAACAATGTAAATTCGTTGTTCATCCGTAAACTGCACAGCCATGGTAGATTATCTGCAAGAAAAAGAAAATTTAGGAGTTCTGTCATTTAGTTTCTGTTTGAAGTGAATATTCATAATATTAAAGGATTCACTGCCAACTGAATTGGTAAACGTTTTTTGTGAAACACCCTGTAGAAGGTAAGATCGTTTAGATCCATTGGACGACCAAGGAGGACATATTCGGTATGGGAAAAAGCTAGACTGGGCACTTTCTCCGAGGCATAACCGCTTGAGTGACTCCTAAAATAAAAGAATATATCTCGGAGGAATTCTCTAGGTTTAGGATTCAACAAAATATGCGGCATATCAAGGGATATTTCCGGAATGACTAAAGAGAATGTGTAAAAAAAAAAGCATATATGAAGCACTAAGTTTTTTAAGAGTACAAGTGCATAGCGCGCAAGATTTATTAGAAGAGATGGGAAAGAGAGAGGGTAGCAGGAGGGAGGGAAGGAAGGAAGGAAGGACGGAGGTAGCGTCAACATCTGCTACGATCGGATAATGTGGGAAAATATTAACGGGAACTCTTCTCCGCATTTTTATCATGCTCGCATGAAACTTGTTTGCATGAAAAACATCATCAGGTCTTGTAGGAATTTTCGTTTTGAGCCCACTCAGCTGTGTGACGAATTTTCCTTTATTAGCAACTAAATGGAGAGGAGTGTCTCCAGGATGAAATGCAGGCATTTCATCAAGGGGACCAACTGTTGTAGAAGGCGTTTATTTTGCTCACACGATCAAATTGGAAATTTCCCAGTAGTTAGATAGCAATTCAATTTAAAAGTTAAATTATATACAGCCAACTCTCGATATACCACCATTGATCTCGGCCGATTTTGGCGCTATATTGAGGGTGGCGCTAAATCGAAACGCATGGCTTTAAAATTGAGAATTTTTTCCTAATTTATATAAAATATGCACCAAAGTTCACTTTAATTAATCCACGCTGCCAATGGTCCGTGCTTCAGAATACACCAACTACACAGCTTCGAAAAATGATTTTATCTATTCCATCCATTATTAAATTCAATGACTTCTTATTTTTAATTAGTATAGCTCCTATACACCATCTGCTCGCATTATTGTCCCAAAACACGAAAAATTGTTCGCGAAGTTTTGCTGACTTTCGACCACATTCGCCTCCTTCTAGCGGCACACTTCCAATTTTTCCTTCACACTTAAAACCGTTTATTTCCCTCAACACTAGATAGTGAACAAACAAACTGTCGTCTGGAGAAGCTGCGTATAATCTTAATGAGATGTTTCCATTCTCTGAGAGAAGAGAGAGGATTAGGCTGGATAAGGCGACCCTATACGCCCCTCTCTAATATACAGGGTGGCGCTAAAGTCGCGCACCATAGGGGATTTCTCTATTGCAATACCGTAATTCCTGTTCATTTCTTTGCAGGTAAGTGATGGTTGCAAACTAACAAAAGAGGAGAGGGTGGGGTTAAGATATGTTCAAACATGTGTGCAGCGAATCTAAGTGTTTTCAAGGTAATGGCAAACGATTCGGACATTGACAGGTAATTTCCCCAATGGTGCGCGACTTTTGCGCCACCCTGTATATAGGCGTATTCTAACGCAAAGTCATCCCTTACAATCTTGATATCTATCACACGACCGAAAGGAGCAATTGGCAGCATTACATTTTGTACATGGCATAATGATTATGGCTAGTTAAGTATGCTACATGGCGTAATATCGAATAAGACTTACGTAGAATAAGACACGTTTGTGCGAGTAAAGGTGTTGGCGGATGGCCGCTAGCGAGGGTGGCGCTGTAACGGGAGAGCGCCTATGGTACACTGTAAAAAATAATGGTTCGGACTAGAACCCCCAGCTTTCAGAGCGGTTTTCGCTGATCGAGAAACCATTTGGAATGGTTTAAAGTTCACTCCAAGAACTATTTGACATAATGATGCATAATAATAACTTGGTAGCTCTTGAAGGCGCTCGGCAAGAATCTAGGTTTTGTGATCCCTAGAACCATTTTTTCACGATCTTTGCTCAATAGTTGTTCGTGGGAGTGACCACATGAATGTCTCAGATCCTAGAATTGATCATCTGCCGTGTCAAAGTCCTCAGATCCTGGTAACTCCAAGAGTTACAAGAGTTTCAGCTCGTGTAGGCTTGATTCCCCGAAAATGGTTCTATAAATATTTAATCGAAGATGATTCCAATACGAACCTTTACTTTTAGAGAGTAGAACCGTTTTTCACTAAATGTGTGTAATAGTTACCGGTTGGAGTGATCGTCTGACTGTCCTAGGTCGTAGCATTCATGTTCTGCCTTGTTAACGATCTAAGATGGTAGTAGCTCCTGGAATCAGTATCATCTCTTCAATGAAAATGGTTCTATAAAAGTTTCACTCTAGAACCTTTATTTTTTTACAGTGTAAGCCTATGGGGAGGATTTGT